AAGCCAGTACCTCGATTTCTATGACTATAGCTGTCTTTTCAAAACAGGAGCTAAAAAGAATTCTACATCCTGCTCGCACCGACCACAGTGCTGACATAAAAATATCCCTTTTGGTAGACGGATCATAGGTTCGAATCCATTTGCTGTCGGGGTAATCATGGTAAGATTTCGTGATTTTTCCCACCATATAACGCAACTTAAATGCTGTTTATTTTCATCAAAAAGTATTCCACGAAGGCTAGTTCCTCCCAATGCTCGATCCAGGCTCACACTAAACGTGTTAAGGAGATGTGGGTTGTGAGTTCGATCCAGGCAGCTGACTAAAAAACCGATGCATATATTCAGCAAGATCTGTATGTCTAAATCTTTCATGGTTGAAAATCCTCGTTATAACCGTCGTTGAACAGCCGACCCAATTTTATGGGTTTACAACTACTAATGTTCAACTCCGTAGCCTTGTAATTTTGAACCCAATCCAGAAGACAAGGGAACTCCTGGATCGAGTATTGGAAGAAATTTGCCTTCGTGGAGGACTTTTTGATTGAGCTAACCAGCATTTGCGTTACATGGGGAGGAAGATCATGAGAACCTCCCACGGTTAGCCTGACGGCAAGAAGACTCTAACCCATGATTCGTCTACCACTGAGCTGATATTTCACGTCAGTACTGTGGTCGGTGAAACCAGGATGGGGAATTCGTATCGACTGGGATTCGAACCCGGTTCGCCTTTTTGGAAGGCGAACGCTCTATCCCCTGAGCCATCGTGGCTCTTGTTAGAAATTTTGAGAGAAGGGTACCAGCTCAGTTGCTACCAACGTCCTCTGAACCAAAATTACATGGCGTTCCTACCATGGACAATAAAGGATAGAGCCCTGAGTTAGGTGATTAGCCATTGTTGGATGATGTGAGGATAAATTTAATTTATTGACTATAAACAAAGAAATAAATTTTATATCATATAAAAATCATAAGGTTCAACTCTACGGATTTTAATTTCAGTGGTGCCCTTCAATTTTTATGTATTTCGGACAAGGTAAAAATAAGCAGTATTCGATTAGAGCTTAGCACGTTAATCTCTGTCCATCGTAAAATTATTATAAATGTCTTAAAAAACATATGTTTTATTTTCCTCATATATTCATTGAATCTGACAATAAAGAATATTTACTCGCAACAGAAAAATAAACGAGAAAAACGTTACTTTTTTCCCTCGAGGCAATAAAATTGAAGAGATGAAATTGATGAGATGTAACTCATTATTTTTAGAAATTTATTTTCGAAACGGAAAATTGTAAGTCTATAATAAATTCTTGATATAAAAATTTTATTTCCTTCAGTACCAAAATAATCTGCAAGTTATTTGTAAACTACGTGCGTTGTTGGAAAATGTGTGTTCTGTTTCTTTATCAGCAAATAACGAAGATGTCCCTAGAGCAAAATACAAAATAATTTGCCTTGAACAGTTTTTCCTATTTATTCTACAAGTACACTATTTTTTCAACTTACAGTGCCTTGTTTTGTTTCCTTTATTTTAACTCGTCTGTTAGTAAAAGCATCATGTAATTATTTCCATTTTGCAACTTTTTATATTTGCATATCCTTTAGCAATAGCCTACAAACTTTAATGCACAAAGGAGAAAAGGTTATATAGCATTAAAATAATATTTGCTTTTATAATTTTACCATTTTGAACGGATATATCACTATATCCGCAGTATATTTATGTTGTTAATTACGATTTTATCTAGCAAAGTATAAAAATCACTCTTAGCATAAAATAAAATGTCAGAAAGTTTAAAAAAAAAAAGAAAGAAAGAAAAATAATTCAATCAGCTAATCCATTAAAAACAATTTCGACCACAAATACTTTTTTATATTATTACAAGTAAGAAAAACGACCCAACCAGCTAACCCATTAATTTTCGACCACAAATACTTTATTTTATATTACAACCAGCAACAATAAAAACTATCAAACCAGCTAAACCATTAATTTTCGACCACAAATACTTTATTTTATAGTATAACCAGCAAGAAAAACGATCCAATCAACTAAATCATTAACTTCTAACCACAAATACTTCATTTTATATTATAACTAGCACTGGACATCATACCCTTTTCTTTGGGTCTACGAATATCAATGCTTCAACTCTGTATCCTTGTAATTTAGTAATTTGGAAGCCATCCCAAAAGAAAAGAAAACACCTAGATCAAATTATGAGACAAACCCAACACAGAAGACAAGGGCATTGAGGGGATCAAGCATTGGGACAAATTAGATGGAACTGATGAAAGTAGCGGGTGTTTGTGTTGCATGTCGATGAAAATTATGAAAATGTCCTACGGTTAGCCCGACGGCAATGGTTCTTACCACAGACGATATTTCACTCTAGCACTATGGTCTGCGTGTGCCGGTCAGAAGCAGAATTCGTATCGACCAACCATCTCAGGGATTCAGATCTAGACGGCCTCATCGGGAGGCAAGCGCTCTATACCCTGAGCCCCCCTTGGCTCAGACCGCAAATATTGCAATGATGTTAAAAAAGGACGGGATAGCCTGGTTGGTAGGGCATTGGGTGAATGTACAAGAGGTCGTGGGTTCGATCCCTGGCAACCGAAGACTCCCTGAGTAATAAAGGGTGACTGATGCACGTTGAATCTGTCGAGCCGCAAAGTCCTTCATGTTCCCATGATAAATCAATACTTCAGGGGGTACTGATCCAGGATTTCCCTTGTCTTCTGGATTGGTTCAAAATTACAAGGACGTTAGTAGTCGTAAGTTGAACATTGTAGTTGACGTAAGTTGACGTTAGTAGTTATAAGTTGAACATTAGTAGTCGTAAACCCAAAATCGCGTCGGCTGTTCAACGGCTGATAAAATAAGTTAAAAAAAACTATACGAATAAGATGCAGTTTACATATGTTTACTTCAAAAGTATATTTCCTTCTGTTTCTTTCCGCTTAAAGCTTTAAAAAATACTTCAGTATTACTCATAATCTAATATATATAATTCTCTTACGTGGCTCCCAAATTTTGGCTGTATTTCTTTTCCGCCGGTGGCAACGTTTGCTTTGTTTTGTTTACGTTACTATTTCTCTTACACGGCGAATCGACCCATGATTGCCGCTAAAAATGTCACATGCCAAATCTAGCTGAGGTGGCTCAACATATAGCGCTTTTAAAAACGGAAACTGAAATAACCAGAGAGCATCAGCTGCGGCAATCTCATACTATTAAGCTAGGCAGAAGTGAGTAGTCTTTGTCGATAGATCTCTATTTTAGTATTTTGTCGAAAGCGCTTTTTTTCACGAATTTATATATTACGAATTTATTTGACGATTTTTGATTTATATCACGAATTATACTATAGCACATTTCTAATAGGTTTAACGAATTACATGTCATTTATTTGAATTCAAATTTATTTTAATGACTTAGTATTTACTAAAAAGATGTAATTTTTTTTTAAAAAAAAAGTTGTTATATGGATTTGAATGATTGTTTTGAATTCTTGGAATTTTGTGCATTTGCAATGTACCTAAGTTAGTAGCGAGCGAAGCGAACTTTGTTTGCGATGCATATAAGATTGCGTAGCAATTTTCGGGGGTTGGCGAGCATTAGCGAGCAGGGGGCGCAGCCCACTAGTCTAAATATATTTTTATTGTTATGGTATCCGCCAGTTTAAATGATCTCTAATGACTGGAATTAGCTTCTTATTGTCAACAGATTTCCAAAAATAGAATCATTTATATGTGATTACCATAAAATTTCTTTTGTCGGATTTTAGTCGGATATCGGACTCAAATCTACTTGATAACTGTTAAATTATTTTACTAAATTTACTCAAACATGAGTTCGAGTTGAAAGGTAACAAACACCCTTGGTAATGTCTTGCATCTGTTTTCTATGAAGTCATCTGAGATTAGGCGTCACATAACAATACTTGTTTCTTTTTAATACTCACTTTAATGGCTAATTATGTTTCTTTTCTCTGGTGTGGGGATTCGTATTTTTTAGAATGAGGATCGGTCAGTGCGTGGGAAATAGTTCCCTCCTACGAAAAGAAGAAATGCTTAATTTGTTCTCTCAAAATCATAAGTACTTTTTTTAAAAAATATAGCATTAAGGTATCAACGAAAAGAATCGACTTGATTTTGTATACTTTTAGTCTTGTGAACGTTAAATTCAAATTCAAATACAATAGTTACATTAATTAAAACATCGAATTATTTTGCTGAATCCTATTGTATATTTATAGTCACAATGACGTGAAAAACTGAGAAAATACTACCTCATTTCTAATTCGAAAAAGACATTCGGTTAGAGGACTCAGCCGTTTATTAGAATCAAAACCTTCTGGTACCGAGACGATCCAACACCTCCGGGAAGAGAGAAGGCCTCTACACGAGTTGCCGTAAATGAGAGATCCGATTATTTATTAGTTCAAACATAGTGACATCTTTCTCATATCTTCCACTGAGCAGTTTGTGTTCGATACGACGGACTTTTAAATTGCTCCGTACACTACAAAAGGTGTTGGGCAATCACATTATACAGAGCACACGTAATATGGACAAAACTATCTTGCTTCTTTATAATAAATACTAATAACAACAAAACAAAAGATAGAAAAATCACAGATGACCCTCAATACAACAAAATGGAAGTTCATCACTTGAAAATAAATCTCCGAAGACGTATGATTGGTAGAGTTATTTCATTAAAAACTAATATTCCATTGAAGGGTTATTAAGTATTTTTCATTTCATAATTGGCGTTACAAATATTTTTAAAAACTATTTAGAATATAAACTGCATGCCCCTGAATTCAAATACATTTAAAACACACGTGAGACACATTTAGAGTAGCAGCATGATGAGGTATATTTTATACAAATTGGCGCTCAAGGGGCTTAAAACCATATTTGATTTTTTATAAACCTATTTACAGCATTTGTATTTTAAGACTACTAATATTTTATTATTTCGTTTTTAGGATTTCTCGAGGTCCTCCATGATTTCTTCTTCCCATAAAATTGGACAATAATCAATAAGAGCTTTGTCACTGTATCTGAAAAGGAACCAATCTGATATCATAGAAGCCAAGTATTGAAATTACAACAACAATGACTACAATGCAAGAACTGATGGACTTCACAACAACATATCCCGATGACGAATACTATCAAAATTATACTGGAAACTACACAGACTATTCCAATTATATTCCAACCGCAGAAGAAATCCCCATTTTAATGAATGTTACAAGAGATGTACCCTTGAAATATGCTATGCCATTGTTTGGATACATTATGCCTTTTCTTTTAATTGTAACAATCATTGCTAATACTTTAATAGTGGTGGTTTTAGCACAAAGGCACATGAGGACACCGACCAATTTAGTTTTACTCGCAATGGCCATATCTGATTTACTGACGCTACTTTTCCCAGCACCGTGGTATTTCTACATGTACACATTAAACAATCACTCCAAAAATTTATATCCCCCATCAGCTTGCTACGCATATCATGCCATGATAGAGTCTGTTCCAGCTTTCTTCCACACAGCGTCCATATGGCTCACACTGTTGCTTGCAGTACAAAGGTACATTTATGTGTGCCACCCAACAACAGCTCGTACATGCTGCACAATTCCAAGAGTTTGGTACGCTATGGGATGGATCTATATTCTAGCTCTGGTACATCAATCTACAAGATTCTTTGACAGAGTCTTCCAGCCAGTACGCTTCCGTTGGCGAGGAGGTCTTCATGATGGTTGTATTTATATGACTGCCGATTGGGTGAGAGATATTATTACAGAAAACATCTATTACACGTCATATTACGTATTTAGGATACTGTTCGTACACGTTGGTCCATGTTCAGCTCTAGTCATATTCAATGTTCTGCTGTTTTCAGCTTTGAGGAAAGCTCAACTGAAACGAGACAAATTGTTCAAAGAGAACCGTAAGAGCGAAAGTAAGAAACTACGGGACAGCAACTGCACAACGCTCATGCTCATTGTGGTCGTTACAGTGTTTTTGGCTGTGGAAATTCCAATGGCAGTGACTACTTTATTGCACGTCATGCAGAATGCTCTTGATTTAGAAATAGCCGACTACGACGATCTCAACTCGACGATCCTGTTCATCAACTTTTTCATCATGCTGAGCTATCCAGTTAACTTTGCCATCTACTGTGGAATGAGCCGACAGTTCAGGGAGACATTTAAAGATGTCTTCCTTCAGGGTCGCATCGTTGGTGCAAGGGATGGTTCATCCAGGTATTCTTTAGTAAACGGACCTCGTACGTCCACAAACGAAACCATCTTATAACTCTGAAACAAATAAGAACATTTTAAAAGATCCTGGAGCTTCAATTGTTGACATATTAATAAGAAAAAATATTATTTTTCTCTCCAACACACAAACTAATCTTGCAGCTCTCTGGTCATGGAAAAGGTCCACACATCAGTCTGCCGAACACGCAAAAAGAAGTTTAATTACAACATGCAATGTTTTCTTTTTTAAATAATTTTATGATATTTGATTTTCGTATTCTCTCTCAGTTCTGTCGTTTTCTTAAGACAGCTTGCACATAAGAGTTTGACAATTTATCCCGAAAAGCTAACAGAATGTGTTATTATTTAAGTATGACTTATCTACATGGTTTTTGATGGCACATCTTAACTTATATAATAGCAACGTGTTAAGTATTTAATTAAATGTTTGTGTTGAGTGTTTGTATCTGTGTTGATATTTGAAAATCGCAAGTCCCTCTGATCGAGTGGATCTACTAATACCTGGGGCTCTAGTAGAAAAACTCGATGAGTTAACTGGCGAAACGTGTATTCCCTAACTGCTTCAGTCTCTTCCACTTCTGAATGTAAGAGCATTGATATTATCATCAATATTGTAATCAAGATCAAACCTACAATGGTGCTTGTTTTAAATGTGAAAAATAAAGATATATGTCCAAAGAATAAATGTATTGTTTCATTTTGCTACATTTATGTGGGGAAAAAATCGTTACTTTCTTTTAAGGAAATTTATTTAGAACAATTAAATTCTTTCCTTCCCAATAAAAAATCCGTAAAAATATTCCCGTGACATCAAACTATTCCATTCCAAAGAAAAATATCTCTCTAACTCCTTTTAGACGACATAATAATAACCTCGCATTTACGAAACTACGAAACATTCCATCTTGATCCTTTGACGCAGATGGAACACCGGTGTCGATTTTACACACACACATATATA